AGGTGTTCAGAATGGTTTGATCCCTATCCAGCTGAATTCCTGAGAGGAGACGAAATCCAGGTCTCCTACTCCTCCGCCATCTTGCTCCGCCCCCCCCAATGTATTTTAAACTGGACACTTTCTGTGTCTAAAGTGCTTTTTGAAAGATTTTTATGGTTCTTGTATTCTTAAGAAGGCACAGCTCCTTAGCCAGTTTCCAGAGGTTCCCAGCATAGCAGGCAGCTGCTTCCCAAATTCAGCTCTGCTCCCCTCCTCCGCAACTTCCTTTCAAAGAGTCACGTTCTCAGAGATAAAGCAAATGTGGTCACATCTGGTAAATCTAAGAGAAGGGTACACGCGTGTCCTATTTTAACTTTTTGGTAGGTTAGAAATTTTGAAAAAAAGAAGAAAAATTGAATCCTGCCTTATAGAATTGTTTGGAGGATTCCAGGAGAAAGTGGATGTAAAGGACCATGTAACTGAGAAAAGTGCCAGATACGTGCGTGCACAAAAACCGCAGGCCCAATCCCTGCAGAGGCCCCCAGATGGCACGGTGGGAGCACAGAAAGTAAAACTGTGGCCTGGTACTCACACGGAAGCCCAGCTCTCCAGCATAGCCGCTGTGGTCAGCTTCGCCCTCCTGATGGGGACAGAAAAACGGGTGATGAGCCTCTCAGCAGGGACACCCCAGCTTTTCTCTTAGGCCTCTCATTGCTACTGCTTTCCCTGCGCCCCCAACTGCTGGGACACACTGTGCCCCCGGGAGCAAGGCATGTGGCAGTGTCAGCATCAGCAGAGGTCAATCTCGACGTGTTCTCTGCCACGACACATGCAGGACACCCTCCCACAGAAGCCCCGTTACTGAAGAGGGCAAACAGCGTGGGGTTGCGGAGGGATGCTGGACAAACAACTTACGGCGGACTCCTCATGCTGGACTTGTCTTTCAGGCTCCTTATAGCCCAGGGGGGCATCGAAGTCCACCTGTGGTTCCAAGGGGAACAGTACAATTTTGGGATGTACTTAGACTTCCTTAGCTTTTCTGTTTTGACTTGAGACAACCGTAGGTTCATATGTGGTTGCAAAAAATGCAACAGAAAGCTGCCCCTGTATACTTGGCCCAGTTTTCCCAATGGTAACATTTTATAAAATTACAGAGTATCACCATCAGGATAGCAACAGTGGCACCATCCCGCCCTCCTATTCAGATTTCCCAGTTAAGTTCTCACAATTTTATCATGAGTATAGGTCAGTGTCTCCACCCCCACAGTAGAGATACTGGACTGTTCCAACCTCAAAGGGACCCCTTAAGTTGTCCTGTTATAACCACACCTGCCTCTCTTCTGGCCTTCTCCTAACTCCTGGTGACCACTATCCTATCTTCCACTAAAAGCTCGCCGATTTAAAGAATGTAGTAACAAATGGAACCAGACAGAATATAACCTTTTGGGACTGGCCCCTCTTGCTCAGCAGCATTCCCTGGAGACCCACCAGGCTGCTGTGGGTACCAGTAGTTGCTTCCTACAAAGGAGCTGAATAAGCTTCCTTAGCTTTCCAGAATATCCACGCTGTGGCCTGTCTGCAATGCTGGTGAGTGCAGCCACCTCAGAATCGGCTACAACTAACTGTGCCACCTCTCGGCCAGAGATGGGTCACCAGGTCAGCAGCCTCCTCACGGCGTTCTGGCATCACCTTCCTTTCTCACCCACACAGTCCTAGGGGCTGCATGACACCCTGGTGGGGCAATGGCTTGCAGGGGTGATCAACTGCCCCTCTCCCCCCGGCCCAAGCGCACTGTAAGCAGCAGAGGTACTCACGTTCATGTCACACTCAATGATGGACACGGCCTTATCAGGCTTCGTCTCCATCACCCGTAGTTCATAGATCTGTGGGAAAACCACAAACATCAGCTTCATGGTTTCGTGGCAGCATCGGGGGCTGTCACCACTCATGTGACTGTGGCTCCCCACCCAGCTCCTGCAGACATACTGTTCACCTCCAGGACACCGTCCCCCAGCCGCACCTCTTGCTGTGACAAGGGGGCTGCCTTTTGCGGGGTTCGGCTGCTTTGACGCCTGCCCAGCACTCAACAGAGGCTGTTCCCTATAAGCGGTTCAAATCAGACAGGGTAGTTATACATCAAATTGCAAAAGACACAACCTTTATCCCAGGAAGTTCACTTCTAGGAATTTATTCTAAGTAAATAATTAGCTAAACACCCAAAGAGAAAATTCTGAGAAGGCTCTCTCCAACATTGCTAATAATAGTGCGTGCTCAAAATATCCACCGATAGATTGGTTAAACGAGTGATATTTGTCCACATATAAAGAAATTACAGTCACCAGGGGAATACTATGCAGCGAACAGGAAAATAAGTTAAAAAGTCAGTTATACTGCTGTGTTCCAAGATGATCTCAAGTATGTAACAAACATAGAAAAGTCCAGAAGGATAAGAGCTAAAAGTGGCGGAATCTGCTTTTTCCTGCACTGTTTTTGGTTCTTTTTACCTAGGGTATGTCTTGCTTTTGTAAAGAATAGTCCAGAGAGTCCCACCATGAAAAAAAGCCTAAACATTAGTAAAGTGAGAGGGCTTCGTGTGCCCAGGCTGCTTTCTAAAGTTTTCTCATTATAGAAGATAAGCAGCAAGGCATGCATGCCACTGTGTGGATGTAACCCAGTCTCTCCACTCAACATCCAGGCTGGCTCCACTGGTTTTGCCATCCCGTCTACACCACCACCCACACTGCCATGATATCTGTCAATGCTGGGGCCACATGTTCTCATTTTGTTGCAGTCGTGCTTTCAAACTGCAGGTCACAACTGATTAGTGGGCCATAAAACCAACTGTGTCATAACCAGAGCTGGGAAAGAAAAATCACGGAAGGAGCACAACAGAAATACTAGACTATGTTGCATGTGGTAACAAGAAATACTTCTGTGACTTTTTTTTAGTTTTTTGTATTGTCACACTGCATCTAAAACAGTAATTTTAAACTGTCTTTAAACACTCAACATGTACGTAGAATTCCCAGTTATTTTTACTGATTGAACATTTTCCTGGATTGCAAATAGAGAACACTTTCATTCTGAACAACTCTTTATTTTTTATTTTTTTAAAAGATTTTATTTCTTTATTTGACAGAGACACAGCGAGAGAGGGAACACAAGCAGGGGGAATGGGAGAGGGAGAAGCAGGCTTCCTGCGGAGCAGGGAGCCCAATGCGGGGCTCGATCCCAGGACCCTGAGACCATGACCTGAGCCGAAGGCAGACGCTTAACGACTGAGCCACCCAGGCGCCCCGTGAACAACTCTTTAGACTTCTTCTTTTCCAATATTTGAGATGTCCTCGTTTCAGGCTTACATGTTAAATACTATTACCGCTTTATGTGGCGATGTTTACCAAGATTTACTTCGATTATTTGCTAGTTTATTTGTTCACTGTTCCTTCTGGCATGCTGGTCTTTCCTTCTAGGATACTGCTTACTCCTGAAGCACATGCTTTTAAAGTTCCATTCGGTAAATAAACTCTGATTTTGCTAATCTGAAAGTATTTTGACTGCATTCTCTAAAGATGAAGATGACTTTGGTGACAGTTCCTGTCATCCTTTGAAGATACACTCGATCCTTGAACAACACAGGTTTGAACTGCACTGGTCCACTTACATGGGGAGTTTTCACAGTCTATTTTCTCTCGCTTGTTGACTCTTAGTAACATTTTCTTTTCTCCAGCTTACTCTACTGCAACAGCCCAGTTTATGACACACATAACATCACTATGTGTGTTCATCGGCTGTTCCTGTTCGTGGTAAGGCTCCCGGTCAACAGTAGACAATGGCGAAGTTTTGGAGAGTGAGACGTTATACACGGAGTTTTCACTGTGCAGGGCTGGGTGACCCTAACCCCATATTCTGCAAGGGTCAACTGTTTTCTGCTATTTGGGGCTGTAATGGCTGCCGTCCCTTTCTAAGTACCTGCTCTCTGCTTACCTCTCGGTATCTGGTATTTGCTGTCTGCAACTCACCCTGTATGATATACCCTATACTCCCTGTAACCGTGGGCTGAAGGCCAGCTCTAAAACAATTTCACTTACTGTCTCTTCACAATATCACCACTCCTCTGCTCTCTCCTGCTGGCATTTTCACCGAGCATGTGTGATTTTCTCAGGATCCCCAATACCCTAGTCTCCCCTGTGCTCATGAACTTGATTCTCTGTGTAGATTTCTAAAGTACTTCTCCAAATTTAGCTTTCATTTCATGAATTCTTTGTCAGCTGTTATTTAACTCTTTGACTGTTTTTCAGATCTTCCTAGTTATTTTTGGTAGTCTTTTGCTGACTGCTAAATTTTATGATTCCATTTTAAAAATGTTTTTGAACATTTTATACATAATTACTTTATATTTGTATCTGAAAATGCCAATACTGGGGCCCCTGGGTGGCTCAGTTGGTTAAGTGTCTGCCTTCGGTTCAGGTCATGATCTCAGGGTCCTGGGATTGAGCCCTGAGTCTGGCTCCCTGCTCAGTGGGGGAGTCTGCTTCCCCCTCTCCTTCTGCCCTTCCACGGCCCCCACCCCCACCCAGCTCATGCTCTCTCTCAATAAATCAAATCTTAAAAAAACCAAACCAAACCAAACCAAAAAAAAAATCCAACGAAAATGCCAATACTGATTTCCTTAAGGGTCTATGTCTGCTTTTCTTGTCTCTGCTTGGGTGTCTGGTGGTTTTATTATGAATTCTTGTTTGCTTGTTCCATCTACAGCAGTCCTGAGGGCTTAAATAAACTGGGGCTGCTTTTCCCAGAGAGTATTTGGGTTCCTTCTCCTGGGATGAGGACAACATCCACCTCTGGATCTGTTTAAGCTCCTTTAAGGGTCTTACTTTAATGTGGAAGCCTCCAGTTCAGATCTCCCACTAAAGCACTGACATGGTCATTTGCACGCAGGACAACACTGTGAGAGATTCTTTAAAACCTCCTATGTTTTTTAGCAAGACCAACAATGCATTCATAATCTAGACTTTATCGTAAATTAATCGGGTTTTATGAGAAGGGCCCTTTAGAGTACCTAGCCTTCCATACTTCCAGAAGTAGAAGTCCAAGCATTTCAATTCTATGTAACTCACCTTCCCTTTCAGTGCAAAAATTTCAATATTATCTTTTATCATCAATTTGGATTGTATTTAGCATTACTCACTTAATATTAAGAACACTAACATTAAGGTGGCCCATAATTAATTATGAAAGTCTCAAGTATTCAGTTAAGGTAGAGAGTACCTAAAATGTCCCCCACAAAGCTAAAGGGAACAAGATTACTTCTTAGTTGAGGAGAAAATATAAAAGTGTGATTCAAAACCCACAGAATGACAAATAAGGATTCTCAGCAACAGATGCCTCAAACAGAAGGAAACTCAAAGAACACACTGGATCCCTACATTGACATGGAAGGAGCAACTGGCTGAACCACAGGCACCTCTTCTCAGTTGTGAGCGCCCAAGTCCCCGATGGGATGGGAGAGTATGTGAAGGAGCAGGGAGCTGGCTCAGGGAGAGGCGGGCAGGGGCTGTGGTCACTCCTGAGCACCAGGAGGTCTGCTCTAGCGGCAGCTCCACGAGGGTCACCATCCACTGTCACAGTGGGTGAGGCTATCCACGTGGCTGTGCTCCATGCCTGTGGCAGGATGGGTTATCAGCCGGCTTGCCATCTATGACATCTTTCCTCAGCTTCTTGCCACAGATAACGGGGACGTGGATAATGTCTTGAATTTTGTGTCACTTAAACAGGACATGAATGAGAAATGGGAGGGTGAGAGATGATGTTAGCTTACGGCTAAACTGTCTAGATCCAGACAGCTGGGCAAGCATTGAATCACAGATGAACATATATGGCGTTCAGACCTGAAAGACTCATGTCCCAGAGGAGCTACTAAGGGAAAACCAGAGCTGAAGAAAACAGGAGGAAGAGGACATGTGCTCCCATGAGGAGAGGGCACGTGACCGCAGGCGACACCGTCCCTCGGCAGAGCCAGGCTCTGCTCTCCCTGTGCCCCACAGCACTTGGAGCACGTTGTAGGGCCAGCTCCTTGATGGCCTGTCCAAGGGAATCACAAGGATGAGGACCCAGGCTGCTTTGTTTCTGTGTCCCCACAGACCAGCAAAGGGATTAGTTCAGATTACAGGTACAGTGGAGAGCTTCCTGAAAGAGGCACAATCAGCACCCTTGGCATCATGGGATACAGGCATATGATTAATAATGTTAAGCTCATGCACCTGTAAATGCAATCAATCAATTCTCCACACAGAGTTGCTGAATGAATTACTATACGACTCTAAACACGAATCCACGGAGACTTAAAAAAGCAAGCAAACAGTAGGCAGCCATCATGATAAAAGCCAGGCATACCCTGCCTAAAAAGAACCCCCACTCAAACCCCAGAATGGAGACACTCACACTGCTGGCCGCATGGTGGAAATGCTCACCTTCTCATTGTAGTTGATGGCAATCACATCCCCTGTGGTCAGACAGGCAAAGTTTCTCAAGGCGTTTTCTAATCTGCAGACACACACTGTCAAGGCAACATGGCAACATGGGTACCTTAAATCTGAAACAAGTTCCATGAGGGGTTTAGATCACCTCCGTCATAAAGTATACCAGACAGACATGTACCAAGCTGGTGCTAAAACACACGACTTTGACACAGTGGGATGATACTAAGCAATAATTATGGAAGGGTAAACTCATAGCATGGATAAATCTCGCAAACGCCGCTGAGGGAAAGAACCCGCCACAAAGTGTTCCCTCAAGAAAGCTCTCTGAGGGCTGGGAGGCACGGGGAGGCTCCTAGGGCTGGAGGTCAGGTGAGGACGGGCAGGCAAGGCCACAGAGGGACCTTTCGGAAAGATGGAAATGTTGTGGTTACACGGGTGTTCACATTTGCCAACTCATCAAACCGTGCATTTTATTGTATGTAAACTCCATCTGAACAAGTTGATCTTAAAAATCCCATGGAAGCACAGAAGAAAAAAAGACTGAGTGAATGATAAATAGGCCCCCTTAAAAATCAAAGATGTTCTCTTTGACACTTTTGTTGTTTCTATCTTTTGGGTGGTAACCCAACTTTAGGGGTATGTTTCAAAAGAAAAACTAAAAAAATAAAAATTAAAAAGGAAAAAGGAACCTGTAAACTTTTTTTCTAATAGTAAATAATAACTTCTTAAAAACTGAATAACCCAAATGCCCAGGCAAGGGAGTAACGCCTAATCACATGGAAGATTTTAACCACATCATCCTCATCAACTCAGAGAATTATTTTAAATAGAACGGTCAAACATACAACGTGGCTCCAGAACCCAGCAACAGGACACGGCATAGCAGGTGAGGCTCTCAGAGTCTGAGGGTGCAAGACTCAGCCTGTCTAGGATCCCTTCTCTTACTCTTACTCTGTGTCTTACTCAGACAGCCTTCCGAGATAAGAAAAGCTTTGTGAAAAGGGTATTCTGTGCATACTGTCTTTGTCCCCTTGCATAAAATGCCCGGCTGTTGGGGTGCCCTCCCTTAACTCCTCCAGTGGCCCTTCAAGGCGAGAGGCGCTGAGCTGTCAAAGCCAACCCACACGGCCTCTGCGGGTGGAGCCGGCTTCTGCCTCACAGCCCTGCGTGCTCCCCCTTCTCCCTGCTGTGCTGAGTCTGGCTTTACTAAGACTGCCTCTATCCTGTCAGCCAGACTCGGGAGCACCAGACTGCCTCTCAGCTGACAAAAGGGACACTCTTTCTCCGCGGGCTAAAAAGTTAACCATGCCTATAGAAACAGCTCTGAAAACAATCTGGTAAGTCTGTACCACAACACACATGAAAATCCAGAGAAAGACCAGAAGGGGCTGCAGTCATGGAGGCAGACACCCCTGGGCACTGCCAGCCAGACAAGCACCTCCAAGGCAGAGCTCTGAGGCACCGGGCAAGCAGATCTTGCCAGAGGATGTCATCCTGCCTGTAAGATGGAAAGCATCCAACAAGAGCCGTGAGCACAGCTCCCCAGACGCCCACTGTGTCCAGGGCCCAGTCACAGGGGACTCAACAGGCTTGTCCACAGACATGGTCAGCAAAAGACTCAACACAGCCCACCCACATCCAGGACATGGCCAGCAGCAAGCTTGCTCCCTGGTTTGGGGTGGGGACAGGGGTGTGCAACCAGAGGGGGGTGGAAGCAGGGTTTTTTTTGTTTTGTTTTTAAACTGTCTACCTATCTGTATTGTTCAATTGTGTTTTTTTCAAGCCTTTTAAAAACAGGCGGTGGAGTGACCACTCTGTAACACGATCTGAACAAGCCAAGCTGGGGCCTCCAAGCCAGAGGTCTAGACCACAGACCACACACAACATTCTCCTTGCCCACACCAGTTACTCCTTAAATTATCAACACACATGTCTGGCTTACGTTCAGAGAACATATCAAAACCCACTAAAACCTAAAATCTTTTCTTTGCTCTTGCTGACAGAAAATGTACTCTGTCAATGCTCCCCACTGGTTTGGAGTGCAAAGCGCTAACCCTGGGTAAAAGGTGAGGCTGAATAGTGCTCATGGCTGAGCTGGGGCACCAGGGGCCCACTGGGGTAGGGTCCAGAGGGAGACCAGCCAGCCTCTTTCCACCAGAACACACTGAGCTTTGTGCCAGGTGCCCCAGTCCACCTGGAGGAAGGGTTCCATTTTGCCCTCAAGGAAGTGCCTGGAGAGCATCCAAAAGCGTCCCATAGAGTGCCCAGGGTGTTTGTCCAGGGCCACGCTGGGGTGGACGTGCTGGCCAAACGCCATTCTTCTCCATTCACTACTTCAATCACAAACCAATGTGTGGTCCTCAAAGTAGGCACATGCTCAACAAAGAGCTCGGTAGTTTATAGACTACCGGCACACCTCTCCTTTGTCCAAAGAACCCTTCTTATCTCAAAAGGATACACCGCTTTGGGGTTGGTGATGTCCAGGAAGTCAGGGCTCTGAGGCTGGAATTTGGAGTACGTGGCCACTTGAAGGTTGACACTCTCCACCTGAACCAAGCCCCCTTCTTCCAACAGCAAATTCTGCATCATCTAAAGGAAGAAGAAGGCTACATGAGGCTCCTGGAAATTAAGTGGCCAGCGTTGAGCGCCATCTAACCACACACTCGGCAGGCCCAGGTCCGACATTCAGATGTCCTCTTCCTTGGGTCCCTGAAAGAGGAACCTGAGATGAGGTCCCCAAGTGATTTGATGTCAGGAAGGAAGAAAAAGCAAGCCAGCAAACAAGTCAAAGACATGAAAGGAAAGCCTTGGGGTGCTACCAGGAGGCTGCAGCTGGCAATGTGAGTGTCTCTGCCAGCCTCTGAGAAAAGATGGTCCACTGGGAGGGTCACCTGGAAGTGTGAGGTGCCAGCAGTGCGAGGTCTCCTAGGGGCACAGTGTTTCCCCAGGGAAGCTCACCCCCTCCCCCATACCTCTGAGCTGTCCCACACCCAACTTACAAGGCCTTGGGGCAAACAGGGCTGCAATGGAGGCAGGATAATAACACTAGGTGGGCTCACCTCACATGGAATGGCCCTATAGCTAATGCGCAGGGTGGTGACAAGTCCCCACAGGGGTCTGCTACAGGGGGTCATATAAAACTGACAAGACACCCCACACCTCTATGAAATCACCCTGCATGGTGGACACTGGCTGAGGAACAAGGCGGAGAAAGAAGAACGTAGGCATGTGAGTACCTGGTGTGCAGCAAGTCAAGACACCACAATAAGGCTGACACTCGGGGGTCTGAGACAAGGAGGGTGGGCCAGAAATGAGAAACCCTGCACAACTTGGAATGGTTTTTTGCTTTTCTTATTTTAGAGTTGTTGTTGTTGTTTTAAGATTTATTTGAGAGAGCGAGCATGAGCGCTCATGTGAGTGTGAGCAGGGGGCGGGGAAAGGGAGAGGGAGAGAGAATCTCAAGCAGACTGCGTGCTGAGTGTGGAGCCTGACGAGGGGCTTGATCCTAGGACCCTGAGATCATGACCTGAGCCGAAACCAAGAGTCAGCCAACTAACCGACTGAGCCACCCAGGCGCCCCTTAAGTTTCTTTTTTTAAAGATTTTATTTATTTGACAGAGAGAGACACAGCGAGAGAGGGAACACAAGCAGGGGGAGCAGGAGAGGGAGAAGCAGGCTTCCTGCGTAGCAGGGAGCCCGATGTAGGGCTCGATCCCAGGACCCTGGGATCATGACCTGAGCCGAAGGCCGACGCTTAACGACTGAGCCACACAGGCGCCACCCCCCCAGAGTTTCTTAAAGAGAACTTCAAACATAAAAGCAGACAGAACAGGGAGGGTGTCTACCTGGCTCAGTCGGTAGGGCATGAGACTCTGGATCTAGGGGTTGTAAGTTCGAGCCCCATGCTGGGGGTAGATTACTAAAAACAAACAAACAAAAACTTAAAAAAAAAAAAGGGCAGAGAGAACTGCATGAGTGAGCCTCTATACACCCACCCCTGGCTTCCACCATGATCAGGTCACAGCTGACCTCTACTCCTCAGTCACTGCCCCACTCCCTGGCCCCATCCCACACTGGGCTGCCCTGAAGCTGGTCCCAGGCACATCCCTTCAAGAACACTTCCCCCGGGTGACACTATTGAACAGTGCTGCTGACCACAGAGGCTCCACAGGGGTAGTTAGGAGGTGACTCTAAAAGCCCAAGGACAAGATGCATGTAAAAGGAAGGAAGGCCAGGGCCAAGGTGGGCAGAGGTCATGAGCAAGGCTGGAGAGTAAGCAGGGCCCCACGGACAAGCCTGTTGAGGTCCCCACACACTCTCGTTGAAGGGTGCTCGCCAGGCTGGGGTGGCCGCTCCGACAAATGCTACAGGCAGGCTGAGTAGGATGGAAAGGCAACGGACTTGGTAACTGGGACGTTCAGTGACCCTGGAGAGGGACGGTTTCATGGGAAGTGCTCTAAGGACTGGCAGTCAGTCTGCTGCAGCCCAAGCTCACAGTCCCTTAGGGATTTCCTTGGGAAATCTGCCAGAGAAGACGGAGGGTAACCGATGGCTAGAGGAAGGACACAGCCACTGGCAGCTCGAGGAGGAAAGGCAGGATCCCAGGCCCCCTGCTTGTGGTTGAATCAGCAGGCTCAGGCTCAGACAGGACTTGGGAAGAGAAGTGGCTGGTGGAAGAGCCCGAGGGCAAGGAGGAGGCTTGCTCCAGGTCTGGTCCACTCCTTGTGTGCACAAGCCCCTGGAGGGCCTTGGTCACCATGGGGCACAGGTAGTATGACAGGCACCCCGCGGGCAGGCATCCACACACTCCCAGTGGTCCTGAGCAGGGATCTCGATCTAGGCCAGTAGACGAGGCCTCAGGTACTAGAAGAGAGGCCAGCATCTG